CTGCTTCAAAAGCGAGAAGCGACCAGGCAGACGGTAGAGCACTACTGTACTCCACGCTGCACCGCCCGCCCTTGTCCATGTTGATGCTACTCCACGTTTCGGACTGATTGTAAACGTAGGGGTAGGGCGAGCTGAACGCTAGGTGCAGCGTCCTATGCGCAGTGCAATAGCGTGGTCAGCCTCCGTGAAGCGATTCTAGCTGGCGTGGGCCGCGTGGGCGCGTGGGCGCGTGGCCCATCGATGACACGTAGCATGGCAGTCCATCTCCATCGTCACGCGACCACTCCTTGCAAAGATCACTCACACATTTTTCGGTGGTGGTAAATGATGCATGGTATGTGTCTCATTTATATCATACCTATTTGGGATGTCAGTTTTGTTAGATTTTTCTCACCCCACGCAGGGGTTGGAAGGTCAGTTTTTCTTTTTGAATACGTGTCTCATTTATATTATACCGACTCGACAAAACTAAAAAGACAACAAACTGCTAGCCTTTACATAAAGAAACATCAACCAAAAAGTAAAATTATAAACAAGGCCAAAAATCTTCTGATCTTGACATCAACATCCATCACCTGCCTCTGGCATCATCATAGCAGCCATCAAAATAAAACATGACGGATCACCTTCACACTTGAGCTTGACGCAGCTCCACGGATATGCAGCTTCGCAGACCTCTAAAGTGGCTCGACAAAGACGAAACCATTACCATTGGACGAACCAGACCGGGGTAACACCCTAGACACGCCATCAAACTCTAAATCTGACAGGTTAGTAGACACCATCCATCTAATTTAATTGATCATACATATACCTCTGTCGATCACTTATGTCCCTATTTTTTTCTCGTAGACAAGTTTTCCTTTTTTTGCCGGTTGTCTATTGTCTAGGTTTTTTTTTGAGAGAATCAGGCGAAGCCTTTATTAACTTGTGCCAATGTTCAAAGGTACAAAAGAAAGATTACCGGGTTGCCTAACCACACATGGCGGCCAACTCCCAACTTCAAACTATGCTTCGCTAGATTATGAGCCTCGGCATTCGAGCTCCTAAACTCATGCACAAAATTACAAGAAATAAACGATGAACTGTGTTCTATAATTTCATGCAAAATAGCTTCATATGTAGCTGGCGTTTTGCTCTTGATATCATCCACCATGATTTTGCAATCCGATGCAACGTGAACCCTGCGAAAGTTGAGATCTTCAGCAAGCGCCAAGGCCTCCCTGACCGCCATTGCTTCCAGCGTCGATGGGTCCTTGATTCCTCTGGTAACAAGAGCCGAAGCACCCTGAAAGGAGCCCGCTTGGTCACGACATATTGCAGCAGCCACTCCCCATCCCTGGCTGGCTCTGACCGCCGCATCTATGTTGATTTTGGCATATTGGTCCGGAGGTGCTATCCAATTACTTGATCTTGCTGGTGGCTGTGTTACCCGACTACTCCCCACACCGGCGATGACCTGCAAATCTGCTATATAGGCTTGTATGAATTTGCCAGTACCTTGAGGGCTTTGAAACACACCCTCATAGATCGCCTTACGACGGGCTTTCCATGTCGCCCAAAGGGTCACCACCAGCCTGAGAAAATGCTCATGTGATAGACTGTCGTGCAACTCCATGAGCCAGTTTTTTGCATTTGGGTTCATATTCAAACTTAACTGTTGTACCACCTCCTCTTCTGATAGCGCCCAAATGCATCTTGACATAGTGCACTCTAGTAGAGCATGCCTCCATGAGTCCTCCCTATCGCACAAAGAACACAGTTGAGAATCTGACATGTGCCGGTGGTGTAAGAGATCCGCTGTTGGCATGGAGTGCCTCGCCAGCCGCCAAAGAAAAACCCTGAGCTTTGAAGGTACCCTGATCTTCCAAAGTATTGCCCAATCCCCGCGATCTGAATTCAGTGTCGATCCCCCAGGATTGTGTTCTAACTAGTTCCCTCGGTCCTCCTTTTTGGACATGATCATCCTATAAGCAGAGTTCACTGAAAATCTACCGTTCCTCTCGGCTGACTAGGCCCAAAAATCTTCAATAGCCCTAGTGCATATAGGGATGGGTAGAATGGAATCAGCATCGAAAGGTACAAAGGTAGTACGAATGAGCTCCTCCTTCCATGATGTTGTGGTCGTATCTATAAGATCAGACACTAAATGCGGCGGGTTGGGAGTAAGAGAAGTTATCGGTCTCAAGGGTCCAGCCCGCTGTAGCCAATTGTCTCTCCAAATATCTGTCGTATTCCCATTGCCAATACGCCTCACAATGCCTTGCCTTAATACATCTCGTCCGTCGAGAACAGCCCTCCAAATTTGTGATGGGTGATTGCCTACTTCTGCCTCGAGGAAATCTGTATTTGGAAAGTATGCCGCTTTTAAAATTCTTGCACTGAGAGAGTTCAGTTCATTCAACAACCTCCAAGCTTGGCGAGCCAGCAAAGCAAGATTAAAAATCTCCATGTCCCTAAAACCCATACGACCAAGATACTTGGGTTTTGTCATAACATCCCATGATACCCACGCTGGCTTCCTCTTCCCTTGCTTGCTACCCCACCAAAACGGACGGATAATGGAAGCAATGTTTTCACATAGTCCTCTTGGTAATCGAAAGCACGCCATTGAGTAAACTGGGATGGCTTGCGCCACTGATTTGATGAGCACTTCTTTTCCTCCCACTAAAAGGAGTTTTTCCATCCACCCTCTCACCTTGTCCCAAATTCTGTCCCTCAAGTATTTGAAGGTACCCATTTTAGATTGACCAACCTTCGTAGGCATCCCCAAGTACCTTTCACTCAATGACTCATTTGTCACATTCAAAATCTGCTTGACCTCATCCTTGACTGTTTGTGGGCACCTTTTACTGAAAAATATTGAAGATTTTTCATTGTTTATCCTCTGATCTGAAGCATTACAATATGTCTCCAATAATTCCGAAACCCTAGCAGCCCCCTCTGCAATTGATTTGAAAAGCAACATGCTATCGTCAGCAAAGAGGAGGTGGTTAACAGCCGGAGCTGTCGGAGCCACCTTGATCCCTTCCAAACTAGACGACTAAGAACTGGATCTTAAAAGGCACGAAAGGCCCTCTGCTGCAATCAAGAAAAGGTACGGGGAGATTGGGTCCCCCTGTCGAATGCCTTTGGTGGGATTAAACTGTTCTAGCTTCTCACCATTAAAAAGAACAGAAAAAGATACAGATTGTACCATGTCCATCACTATGTCAATCCAGGAGTGTGCAAACCCCAATTTCTCCATCATAGCTCGAAGGTATGGCCACTCCAGTCTATCATATGCTTTCATCATGTCTAACTTCAAAGCACAAAAACTGTTAGATTTAGCTTTGCTTCTTTTCATAAAGTGCAGGCACTCGTACGCACATATGATATTATCTATGATCAATCTGCCTGGGACAAACGCTGATTGTTCCTGAGATATGATGTCTGGGAGGATGACTTTGAGCCTATTTGCAACTACTTTGGAAGCAATTTTATATATTACATTGCACAGGCTT